TACATAATGTGTTACACATGGAGTTGTTTTATTTTATTTTATTTTATTTAACCTTTATTTAACGAGGTAAACTGTTTGAGAACCACTTCTTATTTACAAACATGACCTGGCATGCACTGAGTGCATTGCAATATACAAACCTACATATTCAGCCAAAGTAAAGTGATTGTAAATTTTAATCGCGATTAATCGTGATTAAAATTTTTAAGCTATGTCCATGCAGTACTAAAATTAATCAGAGTTAACTCAAATAATGTCACAGCCCTAATTAAAACATAAAAAACTATAAAAGTGGAAATAGTCAACTCTTATGCTGGATTAAAAGCTTTTGAACACAAATGTGTTTTAAGGTGAGATTTGAAATCAACTGTAATACCAAATTGATGATGTAGATTTAGAAAATAAATAATAAAATATCTTGTTGCTAACTCATCAATCTGGTCAAATTCCAACTAATGTTCCAAACTGAGGTTGTTGAGTCATCTACAACAGGTAAGATATTATTTGTTCATAACCTTTCCACAGAACTCTGCTTTAATAGAATTGAGGTGCCCCTTTTGAAGAGAAAAATAAACAGGATGTTTCACAAATAATTTCAGTTTTTTTTTTTTTTTTTTGGAGGGCTGTAATTTCCTGGAAAATATTCAAATGTAGGATAGAACTCAATCAAGCCACTTCTTTTTTAAAGCAAACATCCTCCCAACATCATCTTTTACAGGAAATCTGTAAATATACAGAGAAAAAAAGTACTATGCTAGCTGTTTCACAGGGACTTTAACCCCATAAAATCGTCCCCAGTCTGAACACGTTGCTTTTAAAACATCCTCTCCAAGGTGGAGAAACCAAGCAAAGTCAAGCTAATCAGTAAACCGCAGGACACGGTTTAGATTACAGCAACCCTCCAACTCTCTGCTGCTGAAATAATCTCATTAACATGTATGAACAAATACGAAATAAAAACAATCTTATTGTGGGATTCAAGCTAAAAACTTTCCTATAAATGTGTTAGCATTKTCAGTTTAAAGGTCAAGAGCAGTCAGATGCAGAAGCGATTCATCAAGCTGTTTCGTTAAAAGGTTTTGTTTGGCTGCCTGCAAAGGCGAGGAGATGAACTGAGGAGGTATGACGGTGAAAAAGGCTGTCAGAAAGGAAGGAGGCAAAATCAGAGCTCCTGAGCAAATCATTTAGTCTAGCCGAGCTGCTCTGTGGTTAGTGACACCAAACGATGGGTGCATGTATAAGTGAGTGTGCATCGAGTGGTCCACCTTCACACCTGATTAGGTTGTCACTGATCTTTTCATCAAGTTTCCGCTCCCGTAACATCAGTAACACAGACAATCCCTTACTGCTTTAGTAAGGTCAATAAAAACAAAAACACTAATTGCCCTTGTCTCAGCATCCGCTCACAAATAAGGACCACAGCTACACAGAAACACAGACACATCCTATGTTATTAAGTCTATTAGTACAATAATCTCATTAAGTGACATTAAGACTAATCACACAACAAAAACTCACGCTGTATAATTAATCTCCTATGCTATAAATTAAGCTTGCATTTTTAATAAAAGGTGATACTAGCTCATCAGAATCAGGGAAAATGTGTTTTTAAAAAGAGAAATTAACAAAAACAAAAAAATGCTAAATGTTACCATCATTTTATTGCTTATTTCTATCAATTATTGGGTTTTATTTCAGTTAATCATGCAAACCTGCTTTAGTAGACTCCCCAAGAAATTAAACATTTATTAACGAGAGCAATTTGAGCTTTTAAAATGAAATAAAGGTGACCATTAATTAGCATAGGAGGATATTTTAATGCTGGGATTCACCTAAAATAACACATCAGGCATTTGGTTCAGGATTCCTATATATTAAAGTGAGCCACTCAGATTTGCAAGTTTGCCAAAAATGTATTAAATATTCCATAATTAGATTAGATCTGTTTCAGGATATGGCACTCTCTCGAACATAATGTGCCTCAAGGGTTACTGAGTGTTAATTCTTGTGCAAATGTGTGTTTGACTGGTCGACAAAGCTGTAGAGCCATAAATWAATAATAATAAATTAAAAACAATCGCATCCGTAGAGAGAGGTGAAGTAAATCGGCTACAGAAACAGATGTAAGAACAGAAACGAGGTGTGAAGTGAGGCTGAAATCCTGCTTTTTTTTAACTTGTGATTAAAAAAAAWATATTTTAAATCTATTTAAATGGCCAGATACTCCACACTTGTAGAAACACCAAATAAATGAACAGCAGATGTGGGTTTTATGCAAAAACATCTAAAAACTACTCAAATCTGTTCCCTTCAGTAACAGTTTTATTTTTTTATTAGTCACCATTAACTTACCCAGATGCCATTCTCCCCTCTCAGCATACTGAAGAGCAGCTTCAGCTCCTTCACTGTGATGCTGTAACTGGCCAAAACTCCCAACATGTCTACCAGGAGGTCTRAAAACACACACACACACACACAGAGGCAGAGTAAGACAGCAGAGACAAGCACTGCGAGTTCTTACAAGTGTATTTGTGAGTCAGCTTGTGGAAGGCGCTACACTGACATTTCTCTGATAAAATATGATGAGGTCATAAGACAGAGACAGATTTTATATCGTGAGTGTTGGGCAATTYATCATTCAGTTGAGGAAGCTACATCCACACACTCACAGCTACTCCGCTGTACACAAAACACACACTGCTGGTAGGCTCTGTTGTGTGCGGTAGTGAATACAGGGAGTTATGGTTATAATTCTGACTAGACTGGACAAGCTAATGGCTAGTCGGAGCTGGGTCAAGACAACTGGACTGTTGCCTTAAAGTAACGCCCAGTATTTCTAGTGAACCCTACACTTTAACTCTATGGTTAGTTTCACACATCATGGTTATTTAGACAAAATTCTGTGGCTGTTCAGACATTCAAATAGCGGCAACCGCAGTTAGCTGTAGCATTTGCAGCTAGGCCTGTCACAATTAGCAATGAATCCATTAATCGCACGATAAATTAAAATAAAGTTTATAATTTTTTATTTGCCTGCTTGTTTTCTTTGTGTCTCCTTCTTTTCTACCGTGCTGGACCTTGGGTTCGCATAGAGGTTTTTTTTTTATTTTACACTACATAAATTTCGTAAACATCATAGTTCGTAACTTTTTTAAAACATACGTAAATTGAATAAATTTTCATAAGCTTCGTAAGTGGAAGATACGTGGTAGAACGGGGTATCTCCAAACAATATTATCGTTGTTCGCAATAATTTCTGGCAATTTATCGTCCAGCAAAATTTGTAATCGTGACAGGCCTATTTGTGGTGCATTCTGGTATATAGTTATTTTTACCATAACAAGCTTAGGAAGCAAAATTGTGTAAAAAAATAAACTTCAATTCCCAAACTGAAGTCTTTTAAAGAGCTATCTATGTACAACCTGTAAGGCATTAATTGTTCAAACCGTTTTCACCAAACCACACATCAAAAGCACATCAGTGCCACATAGTGGGGGACTTGTTATTACTGTTATCTGACACAAACAGTCAGTGCAGTGTTGGCAGTAAAAGAGCACAACCCTAACATGAAACGGACTGCTTAGAGAGGTTCTTCTTTCCCATTAAGCCTGCTGGATATGAATAGACTCTCTCCCACCATATTTCATTAGCCAGAGCCCAGCAACAGGGAATAAAGGAGACCGTTAGCTCAATGAGGTGTTGGATGTGAGAGCAAAACGCAATACACAATGTCCCAGATTTCAAAACCCCCAAGCTCTGGTTTTGGTACAATTAATCCATATAGGTCATTTTAAATAGTTTCAGGAAAGAGTCCAATCCAAGTTAGAACAAAGCGCTGGTGAAAATCAACACTAAACTGATCAACTGGGTACACTTTGCTGTGTTGTGAGCTGTAATAAATTAGAGAAGTTATAAAAGCCATTATCCAAAGGAGGTAGGGAGTTCAGAGAGTACGCGGGGGGGAGGAGGCACATGCACGCCGAGAGGTCAAGCTCAGTGTGAACATGCACAAACGTGGAGGCTCTGCAATCAAACTTTATGTACCGTACCTCGCAAAACTAAAATTTACCAAATCTTGGCAAGCTTTTACAAATAACTACACTGTGGAGAAAACAATGCACAAATGTAAACCAAAAACACAGCAAAGCAGAGAATGTGGTCCAACATGTCCAACAAATACAATCAACTTTCTTTCTTCAAGTCTGCACATTTTCATTGTCACTTTGGGGTACTTTTATACTTTTAGAGAACATTTTAAAACAGTTACTATAATCATTGAGAATGAACACAGTCAAATTTTAAATGAAACACATAAAAATAAGGAAATTTGTGTTTGGTAGATTATTTCTTTGTTGTAGGACTAACAATGTTTCTTGTATATACTGTGGGAAAGCCTGTTAATTCCCCTTTTAAATGGTGCCACATTTGTAAGGAACACTCATTTGTGGGATGAACACTAGAGCCAAGTAGGTGTGTTGTGCACTTGAAAAATTAGTCAAATTCAATTCAATTCAAAAGTACTTTATTGATTAGATAACCCTTCTCTACCAAAACAGCTTATTTTGCTGTTGTTATTGACACTTGTTTTGAGATACTGGTACTCCCAGTTGCTGCCCATCAGGAGTCCGCCTTAAGATTTAATGCCAAAAAGAAGTGTTACTAATCTACCAAACACAAATTTCCTTACCATTTTGTACTAAATGTGTATAACTTTAATATTCAATTCAAATTCAAATTCAAAAATACTTTATTGATCCCAGAGGGAAATTAGGTCACTAATAACTTTTAAACTTTTTTAACTTTTAAACTTTTTTTATAACTTTTAAACAGAAATTAAAAATTGGCTAAAAGTGGTTTTGTCAGCTCAGTTTTACAAAAATCAACATATGCATTGTCCAAAAATATTTCTGTGTTTTTATTTTCTGTATGTTTTTGTAATCTGACTTCTGTATAAGTCTTAGTATTTTTTTACTCTTAGTTATTTTCATCTTCTGCCACCAGGACCTGGGCAAAGAGCTTCATTCATGAACATTTGATCTGAAATGTTATTGTATTATTTTAGCCGTTAATGTACCAAAATCCTCATTATAAAATGAGTGCTGTGGCTTTTCTAAGTATTTGTTTTCATGCTACCGTTAGCTTTTAGTTACCAATTCATTCCTTTTGGCAAACCTTTAGCTACTTTTAGTTTCTAGCTAGTATTTTGTGCTTTCAGGCTTTTTCCTATGTATTTGAATAGAAGAGTTATCCCACCTGCGATCATGTCGTCCACGGAGCTCATTTTGAGCAGCACCTGTTGGATGAGGCCGACCTCCGTGCTGGTTTGTAGGTTGCGCACGCTCTTGCGCAGGATGGCCGTGAACATGCTCCAGATCTCGGCCTGGCACGTCACCTCGCAGTGGGACAGCAGCTCCACCATGCAGCCGATGCTCTCGGCCTCYTGGATGATGAAGTTCATCTCYAGGTCGAACTCCCCGCCGACCAGCTGCAGGGAGGTGGGCGGGACGGGGCGAGGCAGAGGAAAGGGAGAGGGTTCATAAAAGGGGGTACAGAAGAAGATGGGGGAATGATTTAGAGAGGTTTTACTTTTCTGTCTCCACACTGCAAAAAATAAATTGTAAGATTTACTAGAGAAAATCCTGTAAATGATTTGCACTAATGTTTTGTAAGTAAATTTAAATGC